GAGAGAGATAGAAACCAGTCCTTTTTTCCGGCCATGAAGTCCAAGGGAAACCATGATCATATGTTGAGAATATCTCTTGGTCCTGTATAGATCCCATCCATACCCAGTCACTATTCAACATTTCATCCATTCTTATTAAGTTTTTAATTTGGCTTTGAGACAGGGCCCAGCCTGTGGAAACTATGGTTTGCTCATTCACTAAATTTTTTCATTAAAAAGATAAGCTGAATGTAGAGAACAGAACAAGTTTTGCCTTCTCTCAATCCAAATTCTTGTCATCAACTAGTGTAGTGCCATGTGGCGCACTGTCATACAAGCGTGGCCACGGGTTCGAATCCCGGATTGATACCCGTCTAGATCAACCAAGCCTTCCATCTTGTGGGTGTTGATTGGAACCAGAGTTGGAAAGATAAAAGCATTGACTTGTACATCGGCTCGCCACCGTAAGGCACTGGATAGGCCACACGTACGCATTTAAGGGCACTACGATTCTGAGCTAAGGCCGAATGCCAGCTTATGGAGCAAAAGGGACCGGCCAACGACAAAACTTATTCTTTTTCCCTTTTAGGAGACAGGACATCCTCTGTGTGCATCAAAGGATTCCTGCATAAATCCTTTGTCGAGAAGGAGTGTTCTGCCCTGAATTCCTAATTGAACTTGGTCTCACACCTTACAAACGGTTGCTACCTCAGCTACCTACCACTACAGTATACCTTTACTCTGTGAGGCTGGAGCATAAAAGCAGAAAAACCCCATCTTCCACTACACTTAGGAAGTCTTGTTATGCCAATAATTGATTTATTCCACCAGAATCATCATACGACTGTTTGAGTGACAGGCAACAGATAAGGTGGGCGTATTTGGGTCGCGCATATCTCATTCGGCATCGTAATATCCGTCTTGGCCAACCGTAGAGCCAGTCTATTACGTGCCTTCGTCTCAACAGGCTGTCCACCCGAATGTCTTTTCATATGGCGATGGTGATGGGGAAATAGGTTGAAGCTCCTTGATTTATAGGATTTCAAGTCGTTCTTGATCGGTTCAGAGCTCGAGGAAGGAAAACGTCGATGCTCATAAAATCGCTTATCGAGGTAAGTCATTTCAATGGTTCCAAGATGTTTTATTACCCATCGCAGGAATACAGGAAAGAATTGATAAATAATTTATTTTTGATAAAATAATAGCGCTGTATTTGGGGGACTTACTGGGAGTTATGTGAAAGTGGCCAAGTGGTCCATTCTCCCATACGCTCACAAAAGGGAGATTGAATCGCGAGTAGATACTCACCCAGACCAACAAAGACTTGTCTCTCCCGAGTCGTTCGATTAGTATAAGACTAGTCTGGAAGGAAAAAACTAATTTGTCGTGGTCTAACCATCTCAAGTCAGTATAGACAGCATACGTACCCCTTCAAATACACTACTACGAATTTGAATGGAAACAGAATGCGTTGGGAAGCGTCGCCACTCCGGATTTGACCGACGCAAATGATTGTATCCTTTTTCCTTCTATCTACAACTGAAACATTGGCTTCCTTACAGCTAGTTAGTTGTCTCGACCTGCGCTGTATCGTCCACGTACTACTCCCGCTACCGTAAGTCTAATGCGCCTACGCGATCCCACTTCCCAGACACCAGAACCGTTTGACTAAGTGCTATCGGAGTCCACCATAATTACGTCCTTACTGCAGGGTTCAAAGAGCAGAGTAATGTTTTGAATAACCACCCTTGAGCGTGGGTTACCTATTTACCCACCCGTGGAACTCCTACGCAAAAAATTACCATATGACGCGACAGTGAATTTGAATAAGCTCTACGCAGAAGAATTAATTTCGTGCAAAAAACATGCCCTGTTCATGTGCCTATCCGGTTCACCATAACCAGAACACCAGCTCGAGGCCAACCCATACGGTTTTTCAGATCGTTACAGGTTCTCCAAAATTCCGGGGCTGCAATTTCGAAATGAACTACGAACATTTCAGCTGAGGCTAAGGGAAATGCAATGACCGTGACTGGCTGAAAGTGTGTATTCTTGTTCATCTATGAGGTGTG